TTGTAATAATTTCACACTTACAGGAAAGTTGCAAGAACAGCATAAAGAATTCCTGGATAACCCACACCCAGAATTCCCAAAGGTAATAATTTACTATACTTGCTTTATTCTCTCTGACTTTCTCACTAAATAAGTTGCAAATAGAATGCTACTTTATCCCCAGCTATTTCCATAAATATTTCCTAAAAATAAGACATTCTCTTACATAACCATGTATAATTACCAACTCAGCAAATTAACATCATTATAGTATTGTTATCTGGTAGAAAGGCCTATTTAGATAGTAAAAATTATCATAATAATTTCCTTAATAGCAAAAGGAAATCCAAGAACATGTCTTGCATTCCATTCTTATGTTTCTTTAGTTCTCTTTAATCTGGAATGTTTCTCAATTTTTTTCTGTTTTATATCATGCCATTGACATTTAAGAAGAGTACGTTTCAGGTATTTTGCAGGATTTTCTTGATATTTCCTTATGATTAGATTTCAGCTATATGCTTTGAGTCAAACACATTTAATTCTTCTTTTATTTAATCCTCATAATAAGCATTGCTATCGTTTTACAGATGAAGAAACCGAGACACAGAGAGGTAACTTGTCCAAGATCACATAGCTCACAAGTGGCAGCAACAAGATAGACCTTAGGCCTCAGCTTCAGTGTCAGGGTCTTAAACCCTGACCTTAGATTCTCCCTTAGGAAGGATGCAGGAATTAATGTGTAATTATGTGACAGAAACTCTTTGTGGCTTTCACATTTTGGATATTTTTTTTTTTAAAGAATTATGTATGCATGCAAGAACTGGAGTACAGGCCAGAGGTGCAGTATGGTGAGGGGAGCAGCAGGTGAGACAGGGGAGATCTGCTGTGCCATGTGGTAGCTCCCTGGCTGGGGATCAAACTTGTGCTGCAGAGGCTGCAGATAACTTGACAATGTTGTGCTTAACCCCATGTGCCAGCAGGGAGGCCCCACATTTTGGATATTATTAATCTGAAAACAACTTCTCAAAAGGCTCTTATCAACTGCATTTACAGAAATGAAGGCCAAAATTTAGAGCAATTACATAATTCAGCTCAAAGTTGGATATCTAATTTGTCCAACTCTTTAGAGCACTGATTCACTACCCTGGCTGAACATTAAAATCATCCAAAGAGCTTTGAAAATGCACTTATGACCAAGTTCCACCCAAGGCCTATTAAAAAGAAATCTTTGAGGATAAGTCCCAGTGTCCATGCTCCAGGTAAGGCTTATATGCATCAAGTTTATATGCATCACTACAATACAATTTTTAGCTTTCTGTGGGTCCTAATAGCTTTTTAGGAAGTGGGCCAGAGTAATGGATTATTACTTTGGCTGTCTGATTTAGGAAATGATCACCTAGAATGGGTTTTTGAATCAACCCCTCCAGATCACAGCACTAAAATCCCATTTCACAAACGTATACCAGATCTTTCTAAGCACAATCTATACTCAAACTAGCTCATAATCTCAGCAACATCACTGAAGCTATTTATTTACTCTCAGAATTTCTTAACACAATTGTATCTCTACTCCTGGAGTATGGTCCTTTATGAGATCAGGGACCATATCTATTCACATACAAATCCCCCAAACTATTAATGGCAATCCTTATACAGCAGACACTCAATACTAAATGTTTGCTAAATAGCTTATTCTAAGTTCACCTTTTGTTCTCTAAAACCTTTGAGAGATATTGTCTTTTGTTACCTTGAACTAGGCATTTCACTCAGAAAGATTAATCAAATGCAAGGTTGAAGACTTTGCTGTGTACTTTTCTTCCATATCATTTAGAGCAATAGAAAATATGATCTGTCTTGCACAAATCCCTAGGCTACAGTGCTATCAAAGATTCCATTTCCTAAGATAGCTGTTAATCCTTCATCTTTGCCCTATTTTGAAACCAACCCTTTATAAAACTTTCAAGGAGCACATCTGTAGACTTTTAGTATAAAAAAGTTCACGATAGAATTTAAAAAATATATCAGTCAGGCCCTTCTTGTTCATCTATTAATGTACCCCTCCACCTCTATAATATTTTAATGGATAAACCAGTTATCATTTCTCTTCAACTCATTTCAACTTTTCCCTCCTCCATATTAGACAAGTTGTCAGCTCACCAGCTTAGAGTGGCCAAAAGTCCTCTACAACATTTCTTGTCATGAAACATATTAGCTAATTCCCTGCCCTGAAGTGCAGAGCTAGGAGTTTTTTGCATGACGGTTTGTATTTGAATTCCTTGACTACTTTCTAGTTTGGGGGATATGTCAAGTTGGCCCTGGTGATTTATTTACAACTAATTTGTCTAGCAGGACCAGATTGCTTTGTTTATTTACCACCTTTTGATCTAATTACCTCTGACTTCTTATTTGAAAGACAATTTTCTAGCAGAAATCTCCCCAAACCTTTCCTTAGAAAAGGGCAAAAGATACATTACCATCTCATCACTTTTTCCCTTGTACTTTACTTCTTTAACAGTAAATGTAAAGCACTGACCTTAATTCCTTAGCCAGAGTACTACCACTAATTACTGTGACATATTTTTAACTTTCAAAGTCCATCTTAGATCATTTATGGCTGATTATCTTGATTGTCTTTAGATGCAGTGTAGGGGGCCACTTTTCATTGGGGTAACCTTTCCATTTTTCCAGCGATGTTTTGTTTTTCACTGTCACTCCCTTTATCCTCCCAGTTAAGGTATTTTCCTTATTTCCAGAACTAGGATATTAATAGGCAATCTATTGAAAATAAAAGTTCAACATTCAAATAGTGGAGAAATAAATCTGCTGGGCCAAGCAAAGTTAAAATTTTCTTGGGCAATGTGTGTGTGAGTGGGTAGGGAAAAGCTTTGAGATGCTAATGTGCTATATCAGTGGCGGAGAAGGACAAATGATTTTATGTTTCCCAAACTTAATTTGATCTTGGAACTCTTGACTTGCTCCACCACAAATCAGGGTTAAGGATCATTGCCACTGCATAGAGAAATATCTTTGAGAAATACTCATAACAAAAATTTTAATTAGAGCTCATGGACCCTTGGATCTTGGCATTTACTTATCTGAGATTTCAAATGAGGCATTACTAAGAAGTTAAGTTTGCGCTTATTACTGGTGCTGCATTAATTTTTTACATCTTAATCTAATAACACTAAGAGACTTTGTTGTAACACAACACCCCCATTCCACATTATCCCCCCCCCAAATATATCCATGTACTTATCGCTGGGTCCTGAGAATGTGTTAAGTTGTAAGGCAGAGAAGAATTAGAGAGAACTAAGATGGCTGAAGAGAGAACTAAGATGGCTAATCAGCTGGCCTCAATATAGGAATATCAACTTGGGTTATCATTATAGGTCTGATATAATCACAACATTTGTAAAGGTGAGAGAGGGAAGCAGAGAAAAACAGAGGGAGATATGACTACAGAGGTCAGGAAGAGGCAGCGTTGCTGGATTTGAAGAGGAAGGTAACCAGGGGCTAAGAAATCTATCTGGGCACCCTGCAGAATCTACAAAAGGCAAGGAAATGGATTTTTCCTGAGAATACCCCTAGAAAGGCAATCAGTTCCACTGACATCTAGTTTTTAGCACAGTGAGATCTTGAATCCAAAATTTTCAGATTATAAATTTATTTAAGCTGCTAACTTTCTCCCTTTTTTGAAAAATTTATTTTGTTTTATTTCATTTTTAAAAAAAGATTTATTTATGTATGCATACAAGAGCTGGGGTATAGGCCAGAGGTGTGTAGGGGTGGGGGTGGGGGGCGTTAAGATTCACCAGAGACAGAGTGGGAAGCAGAACAGGTGGATCTACTGAAATACACTGCTGAAGGGAACAGGTGAGACAGAAGAGGTCTGCTGCACCATGTGGGTCACCTCATTAGCGGGGGATGGAACTGGTGCTGCAGTAGCTGCAGATAGCTTCATAGTGCTGACACTTAACCCCTTGCACCAACAGGGAGGCCCAAGCCACTTTCTGACAATTTTTCATAGCAGCCACAAAAAACTAGCCCAGTACCAACATGGGTTGTTAACTGGTAAACATATTATAATCACAAAATTAAAATGAATACTGTCGTTTTGAAATGTGAGTCGGGACTTTTTGAGTCTTGTTATTTTTTGCTGTTGTTTAAGTGAAATGAAAATCATAGCCACTCTTTTTTTTTTAGAAGTACTTTTTTATTTATTTATTTATACAAGCACTGGGTACTGTCAGAAGCGCGGGAGGGTGAGAGAATTCACCAGAGCCAGAGCGGGGAGCAGAGCAGGCAGAAGGACCGAAGTACACTGCTGAGGGGAGCAGCGGGCGGTAGGAGAGGTCTGCATGCCATGCAGGACCCTCCTCCTGTGGCAGGGGAGCAGCCGGGGATCGAACCAGCGCTGCAGAGGCTGAGGGCAGCTTCGCGACCCAGCGCTCAACCGCTGCGCCACCGGGGAGGCCCGCAGCTCTTTGATATAGAATGGATTAAGTGACTCTTCTCTGTGTGCCAAGATGGAGAAAATTTTATCTCTTGGCAGCTAGTAAAATAATCGTTTTTAGAGAGAGACCCACCTTTTTGGGATATATTCTCCTAAGGAGAGAAAGGAAAAAGAATGCGGGAGTGAGGGGGTGAAGAGAGAAGCGAACGGGGAGAAAGAAGCATGCTATGTGCTGAATAATAAAAACCGCCAGTAAAGTTTATAGAATCCCAAGATGCTTGATGAGATTGGATGTCTCCTGTAAAGTGGTAAACGGGCCAATTTCTAAGTCTCATTCGATGTTGGAGTCTTCGTGAACTGATCACAGCACGTATACCTGCAGGAGGGTGGGCTGAGGAAATTCTGAGACTACAGGCCACAGGAATTCCTAAAATCTTGCCAGGTCATGGAGCTTAACACGGATGGGATGGCAAAGAAATTTCGACTAGAGCTTATGGAGCAGGCGGAATGCTCGCGGGCATCTGAAATTCTGTTTAATGGGAGGCACAAACGATCACTGTTCCACGTTTATTGTCGCCTAGAAGCCTGTTCACAGATACGTCCATACACCTTGCACCATCTCCAGCTCACCTTCAGCATCACATGCAGTAGATTTCCTTCCCAGTGAGTTCCAGCATCACTTTAACAGGAAGGAGTCCTGTGTAAAATCCGTTTGTTTATGTAAAGCCTGCCTGATGGGCCTTCACATCCCCCTTGGATGATTGAAAGCCCCTATTATCACTAGCAGACCAGGCTGGTGATTTGGAAAGGTAATGAACTCCATTCCATTGACATAAAGCCTTAAGGAGAAGGTCCTGAGAGATGAAACTCTCTGGACCCGGGACAGTTTCTGTTTCTGTAGCTGCAGCCTGGCTCTAATGAGTGGGTGAGCAGCTGCCGAGCTGCTTAATGGCCCCGTCAGGCTGGGCCTGCCCCAAGCAGCCCAGCGCCTCCATCCAGCCTCTAATGAACAGCGCTGCGGGCAGGCACGGTGATTCATCGGGCTCCTGCCTCATTAGAATGTCAAGTAAGCCTCAGCTGCTTCAAATCCCTTGTGCGAGTAGGCAGGTTGAAATTATAAATAAATACGAAAGGAAAAGGTTAGAGTACATAAACTATCTCTTCTCCTTTCTCTGGTGAATTGAATTGGCTTTACTCTTACTAGTATATGTGTCATTAAATAACAAGTTCAAGTATATAAGAAATCTAATTTAATTAAGTCATAACTGAACTTAATTTCTATTTAAGCCCACATTCTTTTAAGGTCTCCCACTAAACTTTTCCTCTAGACTTTCACCTAAATGACAAGGTGCCTATAATCGTGAGTCATGGGGGGAGTGTGTGCTTACCAGGTGTTGTCATTGCTCAACACTGTCAATATTTGATGGGTATTTATTCTTATCCAGTTTTCAGGTATTAACTGAGGCAGGTCCTTGTCTCAGCAGCAAGGCCCTTCAGGTGTGCCAATAATCCCTGCTGTGAATGTTTGGCTTTAAAAGTATTCGACTACTCTCCAAACCCTGGGCTAGAAGTCTCTGAGGCTGATTCAGGCCCATCTGCCCAGGCATCACCTTCTGCAGGCATCTTTTGGTCTACCCAATAATAGTTTGGATTATAGATTAAATAACAAGAACAGATTTGAGCAATTTAAATAGAAAAAGGAAATATATTAGATTAACAGGTGACTCACAGAATTAATGGAAACTTCGAGAATTACATACAGGAACAATTGACCAAAGTCAGGAAAGAGAAGACAGCAGGAATCATGATTGTGCTAAGGAAGTACCCAGAGGGCCAAGGCCAGGTTAGTGCTCTTGTGCTGGTTGTGGAGTGGGATGAACTTCCTCTTTCATCCTGTGTAAAGGGAGGGGGGGGGAAAAAAACAAAACTGCTACTCTCCAAACATCCACCCTGTGGAGGATTTCCCCCAAATCAGTAGAGGGTTTCAATGCTGGACAGGTAGAATGTGGTAAATGTCCATTCTATATACCATGGCAGGAGTAGGATAGTTCAGGGGATCAAATGATACCATCCACATGGTGAGCCCTGGGCCCTGGGCTCTCAGCAATAAACTTTAATACAGTACAAATATCTGTCTGAGCTTGGGCTAGTAATCCTGAGACAGACTTGAAACAAACCCCCTACAAAAACCCTTGTGATGGGCATCCCTGGTGGTACAGGGGTTAGACAGTGTTATCAAGCTATCTCCAGCCATTGCAGCACGAGTTCAATCCCCAGCTGGCCAGGGAGCAACCCACATGGTGCAGCAGACCTCTCTTATCTTGCCCGCTGCTCCCCTCAGCAGTGTGTAGTGGCAGGACAGGGCACTGAGCATGTTTTCTGATCCAGCAGACTGGGTAAAGGAGGAGTCCTGGGGCCCTCAGTGACTTTTGCAGGTCCTTTATTTAGATTTACCAGGCATATGGCAGGCAGGGGTGCTGGGGGGCTGGGAGGCTGGCAGTCCTCCCAGTCCCCAGCAAATCTTCACTCTATCTGGGCTCTCTGGCATTCTCTCTGCTTCTCTTCTTCTTCTCAGCTTCTGCTGGCGTCTCCGTGATGCCACCCTTGAGAATCCAGTCTTAGCCCAGGTGAATCCATCTATACAGGCCCACACCCTATTCCAGGTGCCTGCCATCAGGCATGCATTCAGGACTGCAGATCTGTCATCTATCCTAATGGCGGGAGGCAGAAAAGCCTAATACTTTTACTTTACCCTACAAGTATATTTCGGTATATCCGCCTGTTCTGTTCTCCACTCTCTCTGGTGAATCCTCTCAGGCCCTGTTGCATTGGGCAACACCACACTGATAAAGAAATGGGCATTGTAGAGCAGGCTACATAATGCAGTATGCTGCTGAAGAGCAAGATCCTGACCTTTTTATTGATCAGTTGAGAGGAAGGAGGACAAAGAAAAGGGAGGGGTGAGACTAGAAAAATTGCTCTGTCATCTATAGTATCAGGGCTTGTGCGTCTGCCCTCCAGGCACTTCTCATCTGTTTGATGACTTGATATTGTAATTGAGATCAAGCTCTAGATCCCCAGCCACGTTTTTAATCTTATCAACAAGACATTCCACTGATCAGCTTCTGGGATCCCTTGTTATACAACGGTCCTGGGGTCCAGGGAGGGGGTGGGGAGCAGGTGTTCCTGGTCATACATGTTGATGCATAGCCTTCCCAGCCTGATCCAGCTTTGTGCTCTTGTTTGATTTGAAAGGCACCTTGCAGGGTTGGGCTCCTGTACCTAACTGAGCAGGTCATTTTGACCTTGCTTAGGGTATAAAACTGTAGGTAACAAAATGGTGGCTGAGCAGGTCTCTTAGGAGTAGCAGACCCACAACCCCACACACCTATAGTCTACAGCCTAGTTCTTGAGTGCATAGATAAATAAATCTTAAAAAAAAAAAAATAAACAATTCAAAAAAAAAATAAAACCCTTGTGAAGAGAAGCGCATCATTTTTGGTGAAACCAAGAACAAAGTGGCAATGGCAGAACAGGTAGCCATCTAGAGACCTTGAATTGGATGAGCAGGTAGTACCAGTCTCCTGCATGGCTGGATTGCCAAGGAATGTATAAAAATGTAGACGATTATCACAAGCTGGTAATATAGAGGAAGTCTTTCCTCCCCCAGTACTATAACACCTCTTAGATCTAATTTACATATCTAGAAGCAACATTAAGTATACAAGAAAGACCCTGGAATGACTGTGATGATTCTGGAATAGGAAACCAAAGTAAAAATGGTCTTGTTAAAAAAGAAAGAAAATTGCTTTTTTTTTTTTTTTGGACCACCAAAATTTATGAACAGAAGTTCATAATTATATTAAATCATTAATTTGTGGGAATTTGGAAGGCAACTGCTCAAAAGTGAATTCATGAGATGAAAAGCAACCATTCTATCTCCCCATCAAGTCAGAAAGGTAGGGGACATAATCTGGGTGCTGTAAATCTGTGTGGAACTGTGTGGGAGGGGAGGGCCAAAGAAGAAAAAAGGTGGACTCACTTCTGACAGGGGGAGGCCAGCTCTGATCAGGGAAAAGGATTTGACTGACATGGATACAATGTTAAAATGCAGATGATATAGGCAAAGCACTTCATCAAATCAGGAGTTGCAAATTAACCTTTACAAAATGAATGGCTTTTTCAGTGCTGAATAAAAGTCCCAGTGAAACAGATGAGGAAATTGCTGGAACCATGCTTTAAATCTGAGTAGGATGGTGACCTTTGCATTCTAATTGCTTGCAGCTATCTTAATATGATGTTTGGCATTTTTCAACCTTGCACGTGATAAAATAACAAATTTTGAGAAAAAAATGTTGAGGTTAATAAGTTTTGTCCGAATACAATTACATTTCCTCTAGCTGAATAATATAATAATAAAGACTATATTTTAGCTATTTGACTTGTACCATGGTGTAGATTTTTAATTGGTAAATGTTTCTGGACTATGAAAATGGTTTAATAAAAAGGGTATTTGTTACCACTGGTTCATTGAGGACAACAGAGTTTGGGGTAGGGTTACTTTGCAGCATTTTGTCATCATTCACAGCTTTAAACAAGAGAACATGAGGATAGTGAGATGTATTAAAGAAAACAATTCACTTGGGATCAGAAACCCCCAGGGTGCAGGGCTTGAATATATTATTTAATGTCAGTGTAGCCTTAAGCTCTTCTTCTGTAAAATAAAATAATATTTGCACAAATTATTTCACAGGATTATCTCCATGGATCAAATTGGACAGTGCTTATTTATATTTTTGAAACATTAGCTAAATTTAAAGAAATAAATTTAGAATAACTTGAGATTCATGTTTCAGAAAAAGTAACACAGATTCAAATTGCAGCTATACCTCATACTAGCTCTCTGCATCTCACTTTCCTCAATACAGAATGGGAATAATCATTGCTACATTATAGAACAGTTGGTGAATATTAAAAACAGAGATGAACCTAGTTTACAAGCACACATTTAACAAATAAATGCATAACTATCCTAGGGTTGAACACATAAATATTTTTCTGTTGTGTTGGAGGTGTTCCTTCCAGGGTGTTATTATGTGCTCAGGGCTTGCCTGGGGGGGAAATAAAATTCTCAGAGAAAGACTCTGGAATAGGCATGACAGGCAGACTAAAGGGATGGTCCTGTGGGATAATAGGGTAATGGATGACCCTGACACACTTAATGATACTTTGTATTTTAAGGGAAGATCTTACAATAGAAGCATATTTTCTATTTTAAAATGCTGATTTGGGGAACTATGTACTCTTTTCTTATTTCCTCAATTAGCTCATTTATGCATTCATCCAGTCATTCATTCATTAGTTACTTAAAAAATATACTGCAAGTTTTTGTCTTTTATGTGCGAAATAGTCTCCCCATATCTACCAGGAGGTTGTGGGATATATACATATATTTGGCTAACAGCAAGGGAAAGCCAGTTAATCTATGAAATCAGAGGTTTTATTTTAAAAAAAAATCACCAAATGACTGTGTGTGAATAAAAAAACCTAAATTATCTATATTCCATAAAGAGGCAAACTCTTGTAGGAGAAGAGAGTTCCTAGAGGAGAAGTAAAACATGGCTATTTTCCTTGTTGGCAGGAAAATAAGAAGGAGCACAATCCGTCCTAGAAGGAGATCGTAGAGGACAGGTGGAAATTTAACAAAGTGTTAATGACTGTGTGGGGATTAAAAATCTCAGAATTCTCTATCTTCAAAGAAACAAAAATTAAGTAAAAAGCTGATTTCTCACAAAAAGAGGTCTGAAGACACTGAAGCATCTTTCCATAGATTTATGCCATAAATGTCCAAAATGTATGAATGGGAGTACTTAATGAAAGTATAGGGCAGGGAAGGGCAGGGTGGAGAGAGAAGCCCTCTGAGGCATTCTAGACCTTCACTGAGCATAGTATAGTGTTCTTCCAAGGGCATGGGCATACAGCAGGGTAAAAGGAGGGGCAAAAAGATAGAGAGAAAAGAGACCTACCAGCAAACCAAAAAGCTAATGATTGGCCTATAAAATAGAAAATGATCATTTGAGCTCTGCCAGTGTTCAGACCCAAGTCTATCGGAAGGGAGAGTCCAAATGCTGCCTTGAAAATATTTGAAAATGTGATAGACTGCATTCAACCAAAGCATCTGCAAAGCCCAGATACAAGTTAACCACCATTTAATTGATCTTGCACAACCCCTCCCTCTCATACATTCTAGTAGCTTTTGCATTCATCCAGTCATTCATTCGTTACTCAAAAAATATACTGCCAGTTTTTGTCTTTTACATGAGAAATAGTCTCCCCATATCTACCAGGAGGTTGTGGGATATATACATATACATGGCTAACAGCAAGGGAAAGCCAGTTAATTTACAAATCTTTTTGTAAGGGTAAATGCTCTTTTCTGAGGGTAAATGTCATATACAACTTTTCTTTTATACATAGTGTGGAGTATACAAAAAAAATAAGACACATTTAGAAGCAAGAAAGTGTGAAAACTGGTCAGGAGAGGAAACAATTAATAGAAACAGACTGAATGATTGCCAATATGTTGCAATTATCAGGTAGGACTTAATAATAACTAATACAACTAATAAAATGCTAAAATACATAGTAGAAAAAGTGAACATGATGCTCTGAAAGGAATTTTCAAAGAGCAAATATTTTTAAAAAGACCTAAATACAAATTTTAGAAAAATTAATGTAGAACTCATTTATGGTAAATTTAGTAACTTGGAGTTTGATAAGTGAAAATTACCCAAACTGAAATGTGCAAAGATAAGAAAACATCAACAAATAAAACATATATATGATATGAGATATGAGGAAAGATAGCAAATATGCCATCATACATTTCATTTGAATCCTAGAGGAAAATGAGAGAGAAAATAGAAAGGAAATATTTTGAAGACATAATGGCCAAAATTTTCCCAAATTGGTTAAATACATGAAGCTGTATACCCAAGAAGTTCAGTGAACCCCAAGTAAGAAAAATAAGAGAATATCACTCCTTGGTACATCATAATCAAAATGCTGAAAATCAAAGATAAAGAAAAAAATATCTTAAAAGCAGTCAGAAAATAAAGGGTACACCATCTTCAAAGAAACAAAAATTAAATAGAAAGCTGATTTCTCAGAAACGGGAATATCTTTCAAGTGCTAAAAGCAAAAAAATCCATCAATCTAGAATTCCATATCCAGTGAAATTATATTTAAAGGCAGCTCTCCTGCCCCTGTGTCTATGCAGATGCCTCTTTTTCATTTCTTTTAAAACATTAAAAAAAGAAAGTATGTTTAAAGGTTGTCAAAATAAACATCTTTATTCCTACAAAAAAAAAAAAAAACCTAAGGAATTAATTGCACTAAAAAAAAAGCTAAAGAGGTTTTCTGTGAAAGGAAAAATGCTGTCAAAAAGAAGTCCAAATCTATAGGAAGAAATAGAGCAACAAAAAATGGTAAAAATGAGAAAAAACATTAACACTTGTTACTAAATAAGAATTATCAGAATATTTTTAAAACTTCATACATACAACATAAAAACTTGGTTTCTTTAAATTAGGTTTCAGGATCACACTGCCCCAGAAGATAATGTAATATTTGTTTAAACCTCTTAAACACTAACTTGGAGCAACTTTCTGAGGAGCAGCACATTTCAGAGTCCCTGTTCTTTATCCACAGAAATTCCAGTGATGCCCTGTGTGCCTCCTCCTTGCAGCTCTTGCTGGTGAATGTGCTGTTCACATGGTTTCATTGAGCAAAGGTACTTTGGTCAACTTTAGTAGAGGTTAAGTGTTGGAACAGTGTCATGCCTCACAATAAACACTCTCCAAGTGCTGATTCTTACCATCATCATATTTTACATGAATACCAATATTAGGTAGAGAGAAAGTCCCTGATCAGCCTTCCTTATTCAGGATTTACTGCTTCCTTTGGAGGAAGGAATATTCTCCCAAAAGTGCAGTAGGTCCTTATGATGTAATTGTGACGTTCAGGTGGCTCCTCAGAAAGGCAGAGGACACAGTGAAGTTACTTGCCAGCAGTGAACAGTTTCCTGCAAATGTCATGGAAATTAATAGCTATTTACTCTTCCCACCCTGTGCATTTAGAGCAGGTATTTTAAATCAGCACAGAACCTGGCAGATTGGAAAGGCTCACAAAATACTTGCTGAACAGACAAATGAGTTGAATGAATAAATCCTAGAAGCAAACAACAAAATATTATATTTTCCTTGTTTTTATCCACATTCACAACCTCCACTCAATTTTAAAACTATTGTAGCTTGAGAAAGGATCCAGGATTTGAAATGGTGTTTGTTTCTTTGAACATATTCAAGAGACAAGAGTTGGGGTTGATTTTCCTGTAACAGTGAAAATGTCCATCACAGATCCACCAAGCTAGACTATTCCAAGATTCTCTGAGTTGAAAATGCCTTTGTGCTTAGGTGAGACTTTTTTTGTGCAAGTGACTTTTCCTTACCCCCATCCCACTTCATAAATATCTCTGAAAGTCACAGGGAGAGCCTATTCTGGAAAATGCCCTTATCAAATGGTGATAATATACTAGGTTGCCCTATTTTTTAACTGCTTTCTTATTTTAGAGCAGAATGTTTGAAATAGAACCTTGAAAACATTCATGAGAAAACAAAATTGGAATCATTCTTGATATGGACAATTCAAGAATTAGAGCATTTGTCAGTTGTCTTTGCTGTACAATAAACCATCCCCAAACTTAGTGCAGGTCAGCCCTGAGTCCTGGCACTCAGCTGGGTACTTCTGATCTAAGCCAGGCTGAACTCTTTTTAGCTAACTCACTGATGTGCCTAGAAGTTCAGTTGGGCAGGCTAGTTTAAGATGGCTTTGGAGGAAACAGCTGAGTTGACTAGGGCCTCTCTTTTTGCGGCCTCTCATTCTGGAGTCATTAGTTTGTTCCAAGTTTTTTCACATGACAGTCACAAGTCAAAGCCCCGCTGCATGAAGATTTTCAAGTCTCTGTGTCCTATCTGCCACCCTCCCATGTTCTAGCTCAGAGTCAGTTTGGGAGAGACTCACCTAAGATTGTGGCTATGGGAAGGTATGAACAATTTGGGAGCAATTAGTGTAACAGGCTGTGTTTTAAAATGTGGTCTAAGATGGCTGAGGATCCAGAAGGCCCAGATTTGTCCCTCTGAAGCCTTCTCATCAGAAACAGAAATATGAGTCAGGAGCCTGTCTTTCTGGGCATTCTGTTCCTGTTTTTACATTTCCACCCCCATGCCTCTTCCCCATCCTTTACTTCTGACTGAGTCTCTTCTGTAGCTTCGTCATTGACTACTTCCAGATATTTTTCTCTTCAGGCAGCCCTGCAAGCACCCGGCAGGGATGATGAATGAGCCTGGCTTCCTTAGTGACGTGACTGTCCAGAAAGACAGCCCAGAGCGTGCTCAGTGCAGCAGCCTCCATGCACAATGCAAATGCTGGAATGTGCTGTGGGGTTGGACAGAGGTCATTGCTGCAGAAACAAAATACTGTTTGAGATCAGCATTCTAGGCTATAGACAGTTATGCTTAATTAGAGGAATAAGCAAATAGGTACCCCGGGGTATCTTCTGGATTGTCTCAACGGATGAAAACGTATAAGTGAAAAGGTTGCATGCAATTAAGAAAATTCACTGTGCTCTGGCTGTCTGGTTTAGTTCACTCAAATTATATATAGGAAATTAAAGAACCATAAAGGAAAGCAGAAGCATGGGATGCCATTATAAATCTGATAAGTGTCTTTGATCAAGGAAAGCTTTCTTACCAAACATGCTCTGAGCTCCCGATTACCTTTGGATTTATTTATAGGGAGAAATGAGCTCTCAGTAGTCCTCATTACTATCTTGTGAGATAAAAAGATCAACTAATCAATGAAAAGTGCTGGTTTCACAAGGTATGGTGCAGATAAAATATAATAATATAGGCCTTGTCCTTGCAGAGCTGACATATAGCAGATCACGTTGGTACAAAGGGAGTAGACAGATATCAAACAATAGCAAAATACAATATTCATCATGGACGGTGATGGAGGACAGGAATAGAAAAAAACTGAAAAAGGTGGCACCACAAGACCAGAAACCTGGCTCACACAAAGAGGTAGGGGTAGAAGAGATTAGCATAGCCATTGACACAGCTATGGAAACCAAGATCCTTAAGTGCCAATGCCCAGATTGTAAAGCCTAAGATCCAAGCAGGTATCAGACTGCTGTAGAGAGTGTCTAGAGCATAGGCCCAAGGGTAAAGATATGGAGATTGAGCCCAACAGACCCCAAATCCCATTGTAGAATCTCTGGTCCCTTTCAGATCCTACATGGTTATCCAAAATCAGCAACTAACCCGAAGGCTCACAAGGAGTGAGCCCCTCCCAAACAGAAGACTATATCAGTGCAGTCCCTGCACAGGCTGGGGCAGCAGTCCTTCTGCCCACCTGTGCCTATGCATGTGCTTCTTTTCACCACCTCTGTCCTCTGCAGGGCAGCAGCTTCCTGTCTGCAGGTGACCTATACCTGCTGGGGCTTCTCTTCACTGACCTCCCTCAACGGGGGCCGCTCTCCTCAAGGCCGCCCGCCTGCAACCATGCAGGCCTCTCTTGGCAAATCTGTCCCTTCTGGGACAGCTCTTCTTGCCCGCTTGTGTCCATGCAAGTATCCTTCATTTTTCTATCCCTTTCCCTAATAAACCTGTTCTTTAAATATAACTGATGTCTCTGTCTCAGGGAGAAACTCGCCTGGGGAACTTGCCACGTGCCGCTGAAAAGGGAGCTCTGATGAAACCTTTCTCAGAGTGAACCCAAGGACCCCGCATTCTAAACCCACAGACTCCAAAAAACAACAACAGATGGGGTACTAAGTAATTCACATGTATTATTTAGTCTAATCCTTAAAACCAATGATGAGGTTATCATTTCCATCTCAAATTTCCAAGGGAAGATGACTAGGTTTGAGTTTTATTAAGCTTTTCACAACAATACGCTCTCTCCTATAATAATGAATGGTCAGAGGAAGCAAAGCAAATGTTTTGTTGATACTCAATCAACCATTGATTGAATGCCAACTTTGAACCAGGTACAGATGCTGGGGATTTGAATGCAAGTCAATCCTTAAGAGGCTCACAATTTATAAAGGGACAATTACACAATCTTATGTTATTAGTGCAAATACGGCTGATGGCTGCACATATGAAAGACGTTAAAGCAGAAACAAAAACTAGCATAGATCAGAGTTTGTTTTTCCATCTGACTTCTGCCCCAGATACTGTCCTCTAAGCTTTTCTCTAATAGAGAGATGATATTTCCTTCCAGGGATTGCCTTGGGATTGTCAACCTAACAGTGCTACAAGTGTATTCAATTAGACTAACCCCTTAGTTCTTGCTACTATTAAAAGCAAATGAAAGAAGCAAGAGAAACTATCAACTACTGTGATTATTGTCAAGATATCTTTTTGCTCTAAACATATTCTTTTAAAAGAACTTTAATGACTCATCTCAGTTTATTCTTTTATCATCTCTGAGGTGCTATCAACATCTTGCAGATAAGAAAATAAACAAAAGAGTCAGCACTCTAAAGGTAAATGTATTAGTTGGTTAGGACTGCCACCATGAAATACCACAGGCTGGTGACTTAAATAACAGAAATTTATTTCCTCACAGTACTGAAATCTGAAAGTCTCAGATCATCCTGTCAACAGATTTACCTTCTTCTGAGGACTCTGTCCTTAGCCTTAGATACAACCATCTCACTGGTTCCTCATACTCTCTTTCCTCCAAGCTTGTGCATGTCTGGTATCTCTCTAGGTTTTAATCTCCTCATCTCATAAGGATAGTGATATTGCATTGGAACCCATGCTAGTGATCCCATTTTAGCTCAGATTTAAAGATCTCTCTCCCCAGTCACGTTCTCAGGTACTAGGAGATTAGTGCTCCAGCGTTGGATTTTGGGGGCACATAATTCAGTCCATAATCATAATCCAGATATAAAATTCTGGACCTAGGACCTAAGACAAAGCTTCCATCTGAAGCCTCTCATCCACTTAAGCAAAACTTAGCTACCTTCTTCCATGACCTTGCTCCATGCTGTCCTCCAATCTTGGACCATTTTATACCATAGGCTACATGAAGACATTTAAATCATCCTTCTTGCCTATGTGTATATAAAAATGTTCCCACCTCATGGCACAGTTGAAATGTTACTTTTTTTCAGTGAAGGCATCTGATTCCACAGTTAGAATTCTTTCCTAATAGGACTCTACATTAATATTCCTGCTTTCTTATGAAAGTGTCAACTTTCTGCTTTGTCAAGTATGTTTTAGCTCTTTTAAATAAAAGAGCTAAATAGGGCCTCCCTGGTGGCACAGGGGGTTAAGACACAAGCTATTAAGCTGTCCGCAGCCTATGCAGCATGAGTTTGATCCCTGGCCAGCCAGGGAGCAACCCACATGGTGCAGCAGACCTCTCCTGTCTCGCCTGCTGCTCCCCTCAGCAGTGTACTTCAGTCAATCTGCCTGTTCTGTTCCCTGCTCTGTCTCTAGTGAATCCTCTCACTCCCCACACTTCTGGCCTGTACCATAGCTCTTGTATGCATAAATAAATAAATATTTTTAAAAAGGAGCTAAATATATTTCCATATCTATTTTTTCTTCAAAAATACAGTTTTATTAATAATTGACATATAACATTTCACTTAGTTTCAGTTACATCATTCTATAATTGCATATCTTGTGAAATGATCACTGTGAGTCTAGTTAACAC